AGCTTTCGCGATCTGAAATGAGCATTTGCAGTGCAGTATTATCAACATTGATGGGTAAAACGTTTCAGCTTAGATGTCGACAAATGCTCACAATAATCTTTTGCTTGTAATTAGCTATAATTAGCATTTAATTCGTTTCCTATTACTTTACTAAGCTTTAGAAATAGCGACTGCTAATGAAGCTGTAGGTGTTAAGCAGAATACGAGAACATATGAATTAAACAAGCTACTCTTAGTTCCGCTTTCCTCATAGAAACTAGGTTTGCAACTGTAATCCTCCAAGCTTCTTTTCTGTCTCTGCAAGGAAAAAGTTTTAAAAAAACCTATGCTGCAGGCTTATCGCTTAAAAATTCTTGAGAATCCTTAGTGACGTATTTCTTGGAAACTTCTCAGTTGCAAACAATGTTTTTCCATTGCATTCCATCTACATCAGAGGTTAATCGTCGAAATTTTTTGAGTTGAGAAAACTTCTCACATAAATGTGGAATTTTGTCCTGCAGCAAATTTTTGTTAGCAAGTTCTTTAAGCCTGTGCCTGTAACATGGATATTATTTTGTATTAAGTAAAGGCAAAACAAGTCATAAGCCAGTTAATAGACTATGCAAAAAATGAACCTATTTGCCATTGAAATACCTTTTGATTGATTGTTGAATAATTGTCATACCTTGCTGTCCTCCTCCATAATGTCATTCATAGTCGACAGAGTTATACCAGCAGAACGGCGGTCCTTCACGTGAAAGAGATTTTTGTAGTTTAAGTGAGGACAGGACTCTTAAACATGTACCGTGTCGCTTGCCCTCAGGGCAATAATGTTTGAAGTCGATTTTGCCAGTGTAGGCGCCATTTTGTATAACGAATGTCCACGAAGAAACTGCGTGCAGATCAGGCTTAACAGATCAAGCGCTTTTGTATAAACCTGAATACTGTGACTCATCTCATTACTTCAGGGCAAGCTGCCATAGAACAGAGTTGTTGGTGGAATTGTACTCACATTGTAGAGAGGATCCTTAAGATGTTTCTGCAGTATTGAAATAGCACAGTCTAAATAGTCCGCAGCTGGAGAAGAT